TCATTGTTATATTTTGGTGAGCATATGTTACTGGGTATATGCCTGAGTGGTTATAACATTCACTTTCTGACCATGATATCCGGGTTCAAATCCCACTATGGTTGATTTGTAGAAAGGCAATCCCTGCATGCAGGAAGTTTGGAAAGTGCATGAAAACCAAACCATAAGTTGACCAAAGACTTGTGAATGAAACTGGATAGACGGAATTGTTCCTTGATGGTTTCAGCTCGCATTAAAAGTCACAAGCATACTGGTCTTGTTCAAATTGTTAATCCTGCCAGATGATGTGTCTCAGCTCTCAGAAAAAATAACTAAGGTCTGCTCACCATAGTTGTGGGTGCTGAATAAACACAAATGTGTCAAAGCAGGTGTTTGCAACAAGGATTATCTATCTAGCTGCCCTAAAAGACAGGTATAGTCAGATATTAGTGGCTAGCAATGATATTTCGGTATTACTAATTTATGGTAATATATATATATATTTTTATTACACATCTTTGTTATACATTGTTTCTTTTTTGTTATGAGTTGCTTTTTAATATGCCTGCTTTTATAATTCTAATAAAAGTTGGTACTCTTGCAAAAATATTAATTCTTTATTTCACTATCATTTTCTTTCCTTTTCTTTATTTCACTATCATTTTCTTCCCTTTTTTTTATTTCCCATTCTCTACTTTACTTCCTGTTCACATTTACTTGGCCCCCTTTTTTTTCTCATTCAAGAACACCAATCCTGCACATATAGAATTTTAGGAAAATCTATAACAAAGTGGAAAAACATTTTTCTAATGATGAAGTTTATTCTTTAGGATTTCATCAAACTAAAGTGATGTTTAAGTTGGTGTGATTACACATGCAAATGAAGGATAGAGGATACTGAAATTTTAAATTCAAATCAAAAGAAATATATATTGGGTATATAGTCCAGTTAATTTCATTTTGTTTTTTGTTTTTGTTCTATCACTTTTCTCATTAAGTATCCCACACTGTACTAATAGAAAATCTGCCAAGAAAGACAAAATGTAGGAACCAGGACATAAATTTACTATGGATGATCTGGCAATTAAAGCACTTTCTATACATTTTCATTTTAGTAAATTTCTTTGTCTTTTAATTAGAGTAGCATATTTTTAATCAAAATTATGGTCATCCTCATTATGGTGAGCAACTAATACATTAAGTGTGTTATTTTATAAAAGATATAATTTTTATTTAAATTCCTTGAGGTTTCTCCTATGTATTCCTTGTGGCAATCATTACCGATGATAGAGTAAATTCCTCCTTTAAGTTTTAGCTTATTATCTTGTTTTGTATTAATTAAGTCTTTTATTGTTTTACTTGTAAAAAAAAAAATTATGTTATGCTTAGATAAATTCTTTTCAATTGTAGTTATAGATTTGGTAGGTAAAAAAATACATTTTAATTTGTTGAGTTTGTCAGAATGTTTCATTATTCTATTTTATGATTTTACAAACCTTTTGTATCTCATTGAATATGAAATAATTAGGGTACTAGAGGAGCTTAAAAGAATTTTCAAATTATTTCTCCTCTTCATGTAAATAATGAGGGCTACAAATTCTGAATTAAAAATGTACATATAATATTATCTATCTATCTATCTATCTATCTATCTATCTATCTATCTCTATATATATATATATATTACGATAAACATGCAATCAATTTACAAATACATGAATTATTCACACAAAAACTAATGCAAAGGTTAATGATTTAAATGGCGAGATATCCATCATCGCAAACAATTCAAATAATATACAAAAACCTCCGTATCCGTTATGAATGAAATGATCCTTGTTTATATAAAATGTCGCACTTGGATCAGTTATTTAAATTACGATAAATGTGCAATCAATTTACAAATACATGAATTATTCACACAAAAACATTGTTACTGTAATTATTGAACAATATAGTTCATGCCACTTTGACAGAAAAATTTACCAGTAAAAAATTTGTTCATCACCATATTTTATATGAACACACAACCTTTAAAAATTTTAAATCAAACTCAGCGTTGCTTTTGCGCGTTCAAATAACAATAACTCATTTTCAATAGCATTTTCGGATACAACAATACATATATTTTCGTTGTCCTCTTATTACTAAGAGAAAAAACAAGAACAACATCTATTCTATACCTGAAGATGTCTGTAGGAATAGACGAAAGCTTGTAGTAAAATAAGAACTAATACGGCAGAAATTTATATAAACAAGGATCATTTCATTCATAACGGATACGGAGGTTTTTGTATATTATTTGAATTGTTTGCGATGATGGATGTCTCGCCATTTAAATCATTAACCTTTGCATTAGTTTTTGTGTGAATAATTCATGTATATATATATATATATATATATATATTTCTGACCTTCATTAGTCCGTTTGTCCATCACACCTTCTAAAGTAGCCATAGATTGATTAATCAAAACCAAATTTTGGGGAGAAGTACAAACAGGTAAGTGGGTACAAAGTACAGTTGGTTTTACTGGGGTGTGTAGCTTAGTACAATAAATTTTCAACAATATATATTTCTAAAGAAGTGTTATTTTTTTTTTTTATTTATTAATCTAACAGATTTTTATTACTTAAACGTTCTTTATAATTATTAAATTTCAACATATAAATTTCTGAATCTATATCTATAATTCTTAAAATGTGTTTGTGTATGTGTGTGATTGGATGTTGTTTATGCCTTTTCCACAGTTTTCATCCGATTTTGATGAGAGTTTTTTTTTGTTTGATAGATAATTCTTCAGTGCCGGTTTTAAGTTCAAATTGTTGGCGACAATGGCTCTCCACTACTTCCTGTCCATTATAACACTCAGCAACGTCTTACTATTTACTATCTGTTCTTGGATATATATCTTTCATAAAAACTTTAATAAAAATAAATAGTTTAAATTATTACAATAATATTATTTATTATTATACAGCTCCCTTTTAGGAGCCACCCCCCATTCAAATTGTTACCCCCCCCCCATTTGGGGGGATGTGTCACTGTTGCACCCAAATGTTGTTACTGATATTGATTTTTGGGTGGGCTGACATTAAACTTAAACTGCCCCAATTGAATGGCAAAAATTTCCAGTAATGAAAGGACCGGACAAAGGCGGGTTATACTGTTAATTCACTACTAAAATGCATATTTATGGATACCTCTTCCTATACAAAAATATGCATATGAATTTAGATATGTCTGTTTCAAATCTTTCTGTGACAAATTCTTTAAATGTAATGAGGTGAATGCCAATGTCTTTGGCATCTGATAAATATGTATAATATTTAAAAGCATGTGTTTTTAATGTTAGCCAAGAACAATAATATCCTACAAATCTGATTAATCATCTTATAAATTCATAGAAGCCAGAATTAAAGGAAATGTCTATCTTCTAATTGCTAATGATGTAAGTTCCTGTAGCTAAAGCTGCTACAGATTCATTGAATTTTACAGAGAATTTTCAAATTTTGTTTTCATATTTGAGTGCAGGATTGTCTTACATATTTTGCTACTGCATAAAATGATAAAATATTTCAGCTTGGAACTTTGTACTCAAAAGGACATTTTTTTCCATTGACACCATTGTTATTTTTATTACCTTCCATCTTTGACAATATTTATTGTTTTAAAACATGATAAATTGTAATAAAACTTAAACATATGATGAAAGTGAATAGATACATTTCTTTTTTTTTTGTTCTGGAAAATTTACAACAAAAATATTAAACACTGTTCATTAATTTGTTTATTTACAAGAATAATTTTATATTTACAACATTCTAAAAACTAATACGATTAAAATTAATGCAATATTTATCATTTACCAATTTATAAAGAAATAAATATGAAAAAATTTTTTTATTCATAAATTTATAAACATTTAGTAAATTATTAAAATATGTGAACCAACTATAAGGAAATCCTTATTTACCATTTTATAAAATTTGATTCAAGTGGCAATTAGCTGATGTTTTGCCAACCATTTCAATAAACAATCTAATGACTGAAAGTAAATTTATACATTTCCTTTGTTCTTGAGAATTGACAGCAAAATTAATAAACACTATTTATTTATTAGATTATATATTGGAATGGTTGGCAAAACATCGGCTAATTGCCAATTGATTTGAACTCTGTGAAATGGTAAATAATATATTATATAAATTTTTTCTTTTAAATAAACAATCTAACAAATAATATTTAATATTTCTGTTGTAAATTTTCTAGTAAAAAAATGTCTAAATTCACTTTCATCATATGTTTAGGTTTTATTACAATTCTATTCATTGCTTTTTTAAAACAAACATTGCCAATGAGTAAAAGTAATTAGAATAATAGTGATGTCAATGGAAAAAACGTCTTTTTGACACTCTTTGTGTCCTGTCATTGGATCTAACTAATGCCTTTATCCACTGTGCCATGTGTCCTCAAGGACCCAAAGAGTGTGAGTTCAATACCTGATTGAGGCAGTGGAGAACTTTGAGAGGGGAATTAACTGACATCCATTAGACATGGCATGTGGAACTAGAACAGTCTACTCCAGTGAGCAAAATAAAGGGTTCAGTTCGACATTTCAACCACCTGAAGAAGGCTGGAGCGTACAACAGCTGAAACGTTGTGATAAACATGGCGACAAAGATGAGGACAATAGTTCGAATAATGTAAAAAGAATATAATGATGAAAAAGAAAATAGACATATTTTAAATATAGACTTCAAATCAGGATTAAGAAGTAGGAGTTGACATTTAACGCAGGAAAAAAATACTGGTAGGTAACAGGTTTTGCTCCTCAATTATCAAAACTTGATTGAGGATAATAAAATAAAAGTACATACCAAATAAACAAAGGAAAACATAAATACACTGCATTAGTAATATACTAACACCAGATATTTATGTGCAGATCCCATTAAGTCCTACCAACCATTCTTTCTTTTTAATGCTGGTGAAAATTATCTTGAGTACAAACCAGAGGACATGTTCTTCCAGTATGCTGCATACAATGATGATTTTTTTTATCAGGTACCCCACAATAGCAGACCCAGAGGCACCAGACATATAAAAATTATCACTCAATTGACCACTCCTGAAAATTTATATAGTCAGCATTGCACTGACATTTAAAACAATAACGGAACTTGTTTTAAAGATAGACAGACAGTCTTTGCAAACAAATTTCAACATTGACAGAGGTGAGACAATTACTTGCAGATTAGCAGAAAAAATAAAATTGCATAAAGAAAAACAAATGTGTGACTGGTTTAAACTTTTAACAACAAATTAATTTGAGCCTTAATGGAGACCTCTCTGAAATGCAACTTGTGTGCAAACTTTGAACAAATGTTTGGTCGGAAGGGTGTAAAAAAAGAAAGCAAAGAAAGAAGTTTTATATAAACTGAAATTACATTTTTTTTTTTAATCACTATCACCCCATGCAAGACGATAAAGCCACTAAGACACAATGAGTTACAGGGTGTGGAAGAATTAGGAACAGAAACATTAATGTGGAAAGAGAAAAAAGTAGTCAGGAGGTCTGTAGATAGTGATTGACATTGCATTTAAATTTTTGCAGATTAAAGTTGGTTGGAAAGCATGGAGCCAAAAGTGAGTTCCACAGAACTGCAAGAATTGCAAGAAATGAAACATAGAATATACAGTTACATTTTGATGCCATTCTAGTACTGCTCCTAAAATTAAAACGTCTAGATGCCATAGTGAAGAGCTCATCAAAACAATTACCATGAAATTATTTAAAGAAAAGGCACAGGGAGGCAACCTTATGGCTGAAGCCAAGCCATCAGATTGGGGCAGATAATATTGCTGATTCTTCTTTGGATCTTATCAAGGAGCTTAAAGTAAATTGCAGTGGCGCTGGACCATATGTGGCAGCAATATTCTAAGCATGGATGAATGGTAGACTTATAGATATGTAAGATACAATCTAGAGAGGAAAGTTGTCTCACATGGCACAGTGAACCAACTTTCTTCACAGCTGGCCTAGCAATGGATTCAGTTGTATATTATTGTATATTTATACACATATTAATATTTAATAATTGTGTATTTGGGCAGCAATCCCTCTTTTATACAAGTTTCATTGAAGACAACTGACAAGGCACTATGATTGTCTTTTATTAAATTTTTCTTGCATTCATACAAATGATTTAATTTCTCGACATAATGCGTAAATGCTATCCAAATGATCTGTATATCTGAGCTCTTGTGATGGCTTGTAGTTGAAATATTATTGTCATCACATGAGGTGGTTTTGGAAGGGAATTGTATGTGATGCGACACATGGCCCAGTTAGAACTAAGTCTCCCGAGAAAGGAAATGAGATATGACTTGTCACAACAGCATCCTGTGGTTGAGGAGTAAAAACAAAAAAATGTTTTTGTTCTCTTTCTTTTAGCATGTTTTATACAACTTACTTTTTAAAATCGAATTTACCCTAAGCAAGCCACTAAGATACAAAGTGTTACTGGGTGTGAAAGAATTAGAAAGCAGAAAGGAACAGGAACAATAGAAACATAATCAGGAATTCAGTAGATAATGATTGGCATTGAATTTAAATTTTTGAAGATCAAATTAAGATGGAAATCATGGAGCTGGAAGAGAGTTCCACAATCGAGAAGTGTGAGAAAAAAAACTGTTAGCATAGAACTTACGGTTACATCTGGACAATTCAACTGTACATTGATGAGACCTTGTTGCCAATCTAATACTGCGCTTAAATTCATAAAGTCCAGCTACAGTATTTGAAGAACTCATCCAAAAATTTTCCATTAAATATTTATAGAAAAGACACAGGGAAACAACTTGAGATTTTACCTCATCTTTTGCTATTATTTTCACTGTAATTTTTTTTTTTAATTGAATTTACCCCAAGCGAGGCAGGAAATTGATGAAACCTTGTTGCTGCACTTGTATATATATATATATATATATATATATATATAAAAGAGACACAGTGGAGTAATGGATAGAGGCTCAGATTGAGGAATCAGAGCAGATTTCAAATTCCAGTTGTGTTCATTGTATTCACTTGCAAATTCCCTTGGGAAAGGTGTGAATCCATTTTTTCTTCCCCTAACTATGAGTAAATAGCAGGAAAGACTATTTTATATAGCCTTAGGTAGCAACCAATCTAGGAGAAAGTCAACTTTTTCAAAAAGAAAATATCAATGATATTTTCTTTTGGAAAAATGATAGCTTTGTATAAATTTAAAGTTGGGAGTTGGAAGCAGAGACTTTACAATTACCGGAATTCTTTCACCAATGATCCTTTAAGATATCAAACTGCTCTTTTTAAACATTATTGGAATCTTAAAGATGGAGGCTTCACCCCACAAATTAAGTGGAGGATCATCTGTCAATCTCAGACTTCCAACAACTTCTGGAACAGATGCAATCTATGCGTACAGGAAAAAATCATAATGATTAAGTATAAAAAGCTGATGAATTATTGAACCAAAGGAATGAACTTACCTTTAAGTGTAGACACAATAATAGGTTTAAAATTCCCTAATAACATTAATTTTGGAGAATTTTTACTTTAAGTGTTGATTTTGTTTTATATGGGTACTAACATGTATACGTACATGCATTCACATTTTTGCATATGATCATTTGTGTGATTTTCTTGCCCATATCAGTTATAATCTTAAAGTATTATTTTTATTTTTATATTATCTTTATTATATTATTATTTTTATCCTTATCGATATGTATGCATATAGATATATATATATAATGTGTGTGTGTGTGTGTGTATATATATATATATATACAAGTTTGTCTGACGATCACAAAAGTGTGAAACCCAGGGTCACAAACTCACATCAATCCAACCAAATATGTTAGCTCTATCTCTGATATTGAGCACTTTCTAATAAGTACTGCGCATATAATATATAAATATATATATATATATATACACACACACTTTTCACACACACACACACACACATATATGTATGTATATATGCATTTTCTTAAAGTTTCTTAAAATTATTCTTTATTTATCTCTTAATTTTATTTAATTTATTTAATTTTTTTATTAATTAATATTCTTTATGTATTTTATATATTTCAACTTTTAATTTTTTAATTTTATTTAACTTAGATTATTTTATTGATGTCAATTATTATTATCAATTTGAAATTGTGATGATTATAATGCGATATTGATTGTTTCACTGTTGAAAATGACATAACTATCAAACAATTCAGTGTATCTATTTTAAATCTGATCACTCCCCTCCCTTACCCTGTATTTTAATTTGTTCAGTCTTTAAAGAAAAAATCATTTCTTGGTCACCCTATTGGCTCATGTTTAATTCTTACCTTTCTTTTCTTTCTCTTCCTCTCTCTTTATCTCCTCTCTTTTTATATTAAAATTTTTTCCTTTTCTCTTTCCTCTCCCTTTTCCTTTCATCTGGAAAAATTGACTCGATTTATTAAAAAAGAACTTCAGTCTGATGAGATGAATATTTGTATATTCATGAAATAAATTATAACCAAATGCATTTTTAAGGATCGTCTGTACTCATTATTTTATATATATATATATATATATATAATCAATTTTCATAACAAGATATTCATGTGACTGGCCACTATTAAAAGTTTTGGACATGTTGCATGTACACTCATCAGGCAGCTGGCGATTTCAATTTTATATATTTATGTGATAAGTTGTCATCACGTGAGGTTGTTTTGTAAAGGAAATACTATATATAATTCGACACATGGTCCAGTTAGAACTAAGATGTCTCCCAAGAGAGGAAATGACATACAACTTGTCACGACAGCAGTTGTGGTTGAAGAGAGAAAAAAAAGAAAGTGTTTTTAAACAACACACACACATATATAAAGCATGTTCATGCAATGGATAGAGGCTTAGATTAAGGTTTCAGAAAGAGAGAGAGAGTGGGAGAGCTGAGTTTGAGTTCCAATTGGGTTCTCCCCCTAGCTATGAGTAAATATCAGGTCAAACTAGGTCCTATAGCCTTAGCTGGCAACCAGTCTAGGAGGAGTACAATTCTGAATTCAAAATGCCAGCTACCGGTTAAATAGTTTCACCAACCTTCAGTTGGCAAAGCATGCTCAGTAGGCACATACTCCTGAAGACATTGTCAATCAGAAGGGGCTTCCACCAACAGGAGTGAGTATGCCTTGGATTTTGACTGGATACAACACCAATAAAGGCATTGGTCACCTGGCATACAAAGTGAAATACTGTACATGCTCGAGTATAGTGTAGATTTTTATGATCCGTATTCTTATACAAAAAATAGGCGGTGACACTATACACAGGTAATTTTATTTTATTTTTTTTTATGGTGACTGGTTCCAGTATAAATAGGTATATTTTTTCTCATAGGGTTAAAATTCACACAAAAAATTCAGTGGTTGCCCTATATATGAAGTCAGTTTATGTGGTAATCTCACACATAGTTAAAGTCTAAATAGTGTTATTGATATTGAAATATCAGTTTATATTCCCTTATTTTTTTCAATTCCTAGTTTTGTAAGATTTAATTATGGCTATTTATATTATTTACATTATTATGGTGCTGCTAATTTTACTGCATACAGTTTTTCTAAACTGCTCCACTGATGTTTTTTGTTAATTTTTAATATCATAGGATTTAATAACTGGCTTCAGTTTTGAGATTATATACAGATGAAAAAACAACCAAGTCATTTCTATTTACTTAACCAAATACTTTTAGCATTTTTTAAGCAGTTATTTTAAAATTTCCAATTTCTGCTTTGAGATAACTGAATGTTTTATTATTCTTTGTCAACATTATTAATGTTTTCAAAGTGCTCTTTTTAAAAGTTTCCTTCCTGATTGTTTTGATTCTTTTACCTTAAATATATTCTGCAGATTCTGATGAAAAATTGGAAATGATTTTGTTTTAGCTAGAATCAACTTTAAAAGAGAATAGATTCAAAATTTTAAATTTGGTGTCAGATTTATCAGTTAAAATGTTTTTAATTGTTGCAGCATACCTATGGATGATAATGGGTATGTTTCCATCCACATAAATACAATATTTAATACTGTATGTTGGTTTGCACTTGACTCACTTCTAACAGTAGACTACTACTTCTACGTGCCGCTGGCGAATCTTATATATGTTGTTCTTATCCTAAGTATTATTGTTCATTACCAACCTTTATCTGATTATTCTATTCAGTAACCTTCCCTAGGTTGCAACATTTTGGTGATGAGGATTAGCCAAAATTATGACACTAATATAACTGTTCTTGAAAAGAACCTCCAATCAACAGTTAACTGGGACAAGGATTGGCTTGCAAATTTTAATGCTTCCAAAACAGAACAGCTTTCATTTAGACTCTTTATGGCCCAGTGGATAAAAGCATTGGTTGGATCCAGTGATTTGGCCCAAAGAGTTGTGAGTTCAATACCTGGCTACTGCAGTGGTAAACAAAAACTTGGAGAGTTGAACTAAAGGGAGATAACTGGAAGGAGCCTGGCATGTAGAACAAGAACAATCTGCCCTGGAGGATGAAATAAAGGGTTCAATTTGAAATTCCAATCACCTGAAGAAGGCCAGAGTGTACAATGACCGAAATAGCATGAATATGACAACAAAGATGAGAACAACAGTCTGAACAATTGAAATAGTGTAAAAAAATTACAATACCTCATCTCAGAAATGGACAGCTTTCATTTAATCACTACAAAGTAACTTTTTTGCCTGCTATCAGCATGGCTAATGCTAAACTTCAGGAGAGCAACACTCTATGCCTTCTTGAACTCGTGTTTTCCACTGACATGAAGTGAAGTGATGATATCAAATCAATCGCTATATCTACTGCCAGGAGAATTAGCTCACTGTGTTGTACACGAAAATTGTTCTCATCAGAACCCATCTTGTATATTTATGAATCTAACATTCATCCATGTATTGAATGTTGCTGCCATAGGTGCTCCTACTATATATCATGAGATTTTTTACAAAATTCAAGGGGCTGTAATGTATTTGATCTTGACCAGGTATCTTGACTTCAGTTACTTTTTCACCAATATGACATGGTTTCCTTCTGTCTTTTCTTGAAATATTTTCAGGGCAACTGATTTGATGAGCTTTTTTCCTTGGTGCCTCAACTGCCTGAGTTTGAGCATGCTACTAGATTGGCATCTAGGTCTCACCATTTTATTGTTAAATTACCTACATGTCACCATCAATTCTAATAGTTTCTTTTCTTGCACTTTTCAGCTTTGAAAATCTCTTCCAATTTCTTACTTCCCTATCACCTACAATCTTCAAATATTTAAATGCAGCATCAATTGCCATTTTCTGTGTTCCTGAATCCTGTTGTTTATTGTCCTTTTTCTCACTTCTCACTTTTCCTTACTAAAGTCTTCTTATTTTCTTTCATTCCAATTAATCTCACTTCTCCTAACTAAAGTCTTCTTAGTCTCTTTCATTCCAATTAATCTCACATCACCTTCCTAAGTCTTATTATTCTCTTTCATTCCAATTAATCTTGTTTCTCCTTCCTAAGTCTTCTTATTCTCTTTCATTCCAATTAATCTCGTATCTCCTTCCTAAGTCTTCTTATTCTCTTTCATTCCAATTAATCTCGTTTCTCCTTCCTAAGTCTTCTTATTCTCTTTCATTCCAATTAATCTCGTTTCTCCTTCCTAAGTCTTCTTATTCTCTTTCATTCCAATTAATATCGTTTCTCCTTACTAAGTCGTCTTATTCTCTTTCATTCCAATTAATCTCGTTTCTCCTTCCTAAGTCGTCTTATTCTCTTTCATTCCAATTAATCTCGTTTCTCCTTCCTAAGTCTTCCTATTCTCTTTCATTCCAATTAATCTCATTTCTCCTTCCTAAGTCTTATTATTCTCTTTCATTCCAATTAATCTCGTTTCTCCTTACTATAATCTTCTTATTCTCTTTCATTCCAATTAATCTCACTTCTCTTTACTAAAGTCTTCCTATTCTCTTTCATTCCAATTAATCTCGTTTCTCCTTCCAAAGTCTTCTTATTCTCTTTCATTCCAATTAATCTCGTTTCTCCTTACTAAGTCATCTTATTCTCTTTCATTCCAATTAATCTCATTTCTCCTTCCTAAGTCGTCTTATTCTCTTTCATTCCAATTAATCTCGTTTCTCCTTCCTAAGTCTTCCTATTCTCTTTCATTCCAATTAATCTCATTTCTCCTTCCTAAGTCTTATTATTCTCTTTCATTCCAATTAATCTCGTTTCTCCTTACTATAATCTTCTTATTCTCTTTCATTCCAATTAATCTCACTTCTCTTGACTAAAGTCTTCCTATTCTCTTTCATTCCAATTAATCTCGTTTCTCCTTCCTAAGTCTTCTTATTCTCTTTCATTCCAATTAATCTCGTTTCTCCTTCCTAAGTCTTCTTATTCTCTTTCATTCCAATTAATCTCGTTTCTCCTTCCTAAGTCTTCTTATTCTCTTTCATTCCAATTAATCTCGTTTCTCCTTCCTAAGTCTTCTTATTCTCTTTCATTCCAATTAATCTCGTTTCTCCTTACTAAGTCGTCTTATTCTCTTTCATTCCAATTAATCTCATTTCTCCTTCCTAAGTCTTCTTATTCTCTTTCATTCCAATTAATCTCGTTTCTCCTTACTAAGTCGTCTTATTCTCTTTCATTCCAATTAATCTCATTTCTCCTTCCTAAGTCTTATTATTCTCTTTCATTCCAATTAATCTCGTTTCTCCTTACTATAATCTTCTTATTCTCTTTCATTCCAATTAATCTCACTTCTGTTTACTAAAGTCTTCCTATTCTCTTTCATTCCAATTAATCTCGTTTCTCCTTCCTAAGTCTTATTATTCTCTTTCATTCCAATTAATCTCGTTTCTCCTTACTATAATCTTCTTATTCTCTTTCATTCCAATTAATCTCACTTCTCTTTACTAAAGTCTTCCTATTCTCTTTCATTCCAATTAATCTCGTTTCTCCTTCCTAAGTCTTCTTATTCTCTTTCATTCCAATTAATCTCGTTTCTCCTTCCTAAGTCTTATTATTCTCTTTCATTCCAATTAATCTCGTTTCTCCTTCCTAAGTCTTATTATTCTCTTTCATTCCAATTAATCTCGTTTCTCCTTACTATAATCTTCTTATTCTCTTTCATTCCAATTAATCTCACTTCTCTTTACTAAAGTCTTCCTATTCTCTTTCATTCCAATTAATCTCGTTTCTCCTTCCTAAGTCTTATTATTCTCTTTCATTCCAATTAATCTCGTTTCTCCTTCCTAAGTCTTCTTATTCTCTTTCATTCCAATTAATCTCGTTTCTCCTTCCTAAGTCGTCTTATTCTCTTTCATTCCAATTAATCTCGTTTCTCCTTCCTAAGTCTTATTATTCTCTTTCATTCGAATTAATCTCGTTTCTCCTTACTATAATCTTCTTATTCTCTTTCATTCCAATTAATCCCACTTCTCTTTACTAACGTCTTCCTATTCTCTTTCATTCCAATTAATCTCGTTTCTCCTTCCTAAGTCTTATTATTCTCTTTCATTCCAATTAATCTCGTTTCTCCTTCCTAAGTCTTATTATTCTCTTTCATTCCAATTAATCTCGTTTCTCCTTCCTAAGTCTTATTATTCTCTTTCATTCCAATTAATCTCGTTTCTCCTTCCTAAGTCGTCTTATTCTCTTTCATTCCAATTAATCTCACATCTCCTTACTAAAGTCTTCCTATTCTCTTTCATTCCAATTAATCTCGTTTCTCCTTCCTAAGTCTTATTATTCTCTTTCATTCCAATTAATCTCGTTTCTCCTTACTATAATCTTCTTATTCTCTTTCATTCCAATTAATCTCACTTCTCTTTACTAAAGTCTTCCTATTCTCTTTCATTCCAATTAATCTCGTTTCTCCTTCCTAAGTCTTATTATTCTCTTTCATTTCCAATTAATCTCGTTTCTCCTTACTATAATCTTCTTATTCTCTTTCATTCCAATTAATCTCACTTCTCTTTACTAAAGTCTTCCTATTCTCTTTCATTCCAATTAATCTCGTTTCTCCTTCCTAAGTCTTCTTATTCTCTTTCATTCCAATTAATCTCGTTTCTCCTTCCTAAGTCTTCCTATTCTCTTTCATTCCAATTAATGTCGTTTCTCCTTCCTAAGTCTTCTTATTCTCTTTCATTCCAATTAATCTCGTTTCTCCTTCCTAAGTCTTCCTATTCTCTTTCATTCCAATTAATCTCATTTCTCCTTCCTAAGTCTTCCTATTCTCTTTCATTCCAATTAATCTCGTTTCTCCTTCCTAAGTCGTCTTATTCTCTTTCATTCCAATTAATCTCGTTTCTCCTTCCTAAGTTGTCTTATTCTCTTTCATTCCAATTAATCTCACATCTCCTTACTAAAGTCTTCCTATTCTCTTTCATTCCAATTAATCTCGTTTCTCCTTCCTAAGTCTTATTATTCTCTTTCATTCCAATTAATCTCGTTTCTCCTTACTATAATCTTCTTATTCTCTTTCATTCCAATTAATCTCACATCTCCTTACTAAAGTCTTCCTATTCTCTTTCATTCCAATCTCGTTTCTCCTTTATAATCTTCTTACATTCTAATTTCATTCAAATTAATCTCACTTCTCTTTTTACTAATCTTCTTATTCTCTTTCATTCCAATTAATCTCATTTCTCCTTCCTAAAGTCTTCTTATTCTCTTTCATTCCAATTAATCTCGTTTCTCCTTCCTAAGTCGTCTTATTCTCTTTCATTCCAATTAATCTCACATCTCCTTACTAAAGTCTTCCTATTCTCTTTCATTCCAATTAATCTTGTTTCTCTTTCTCTTATTTCTCTTTCATTCCAATTAATCTCTTTCTCCTTACAATCTTCTTATTCTCTTTCATTCCAATTAATCCCACTTCTCTTCTTAAAGTCTTCCTTTCATTCCAATTAATCTCGTTTCTCCTTCCTAAGTCTTATTATTCTTTTCTTTCAATTCCAATTTCTCCTTCCTTCTCGTCTTATTCTCTTTCATTCCAATCTCTCCTTTCTTCTTCCTATTCTTTTTCATTCCAATTAATCCCATTTCTCCTTACTAAAGTCTTCTTATTCTCTTTCATTCCAATTAATCCCTTTCATTCTCTTTACTAAAGTCTTCCTTTCTCTTTCATTCCAATTAATCTCGTTTCTCCTTCCTTCTTATTTCTCTTTCATTCCAATTAATCTCGTTTCTCCTTCCTAAGTCGTCTTATTCTCTTTCATTCCAATTAATCTCACATCTCCTTACTAAAGTCTTCCTATTCTCTTTCATTCCAATTAATCTTGTTTCTCCTTCCTAAGTCTTATTATTCTCTTTCATTCCAATTAATCTCGTTTCTCCTTCCTAAGTACTCCTATTCTCTTTCATTCCAATTACTCTCACTTCTCTTTACTAAAGTCTTCCTATTCTCTTTCATTCCAATTAATCTTGTTTCTCCTTCCTAAGTCTTATTATTCTCTTTCATTCCAATTAATCTCGTTTCTCCTTCCTTCTTATTCTCTTTCGTTCAATTACTCTCACTTCTCTTTACTAAAGTCTTCCTATTCTCTTTCATTCCAATTAATCTCACATCTCCTTACTAAAGTCTTCCTATTCTCTTTCATTCCAATTAATCATTCTCCTTCCTAAGTCTTCTTATTCTCTTTCATTCCAAGTTAATCTTTTCTCCTTCCCTAAGTCTTCCTATTCTTTTCATTCCAATTAATCTCTTTCTCCTTCCTAAGTCGTCTTATTCTCTTTCATTCCAATTAATCTCACTTCTCCTTACTAAAGTCTTCCTATTCTCTTTCATTCCAATTAATCTCGCTTCTCCTTCCTAAGTCTTCTTATTCTCTTTCATTCCAATTAATCTCGTTTCTCCTTCCTAAGTCGTCTTATTCTCTTTCATTCCAATTAATCTCGTTTCTCCTTCCTAAGTCTTCTTATTCTCTTTCATTCCAATTAATCTCGTTTTTCCTTCCTAAGTCTTCTTATTCTCTTTCATTCCAATTAATCTCACATCTCCTTACTAAAGTCTTCTTATTCTCTTTCATTCCAATTAATCTCGTTTCTCCTTCCTAAGTCGTCTCATTCTCTTTCATTCCAATTAATCTCACTTCTCTTTACTAAGTCTTCTTATTTTTCTTTTCATTCCAATTAATCTCGTTTCTCCTTCCTAAGTCTTCTTATTCTTTTCATTCTTTAATCTCTCTTTACTAAATCTTCCTATTCTCTTTCATTCCAATTAATCTCGTTTCTCCTTCCTAAGTCTTCTTATTCTCTTTCATTCCAATTAATCTCGTTTCTCCTTCCTAAAGTTCTTTCCTTTAATCTCTTTCTCCTTCCTAAGTCGTCTTATTCTCTTTCATTCCAATTAATCTCATTTCTCTTTACTAAAGTCTTCTTATTCTCTTTCATTCCAATTAATCTTGTTTCTCCTTCCTAAGTCTTCTTATTCTCTTTCATTCCAATTAATCTCACTTCTCTTTACTAAAGTCTTCCTATTCTCTTTCATTCCAATTAATCTCATTTTTCCTTCCTAAGTCGTGTTATTCTTTCATTCCAATCTTTCGTTTCTCCTTCCTAATTAATTCTCTTTTCATTTAATTAATCTCCTTCTCCTTACTAAAGTCTTCCTATTCTCTTTCATTCCAATTAATCTCGTTTCTCCTTCCTAAGTCTTCTTATTCTCTTTCATTCCAATTAATCTCGTTTCTTCTTACTAAGTCTTATTATTCTCTTTCATTCCAATTAATCTCGTTTCTCCTTCCTAAGTCTTCTTATTCTCTTTCATTCCAATTAATCTCACTTCTCTTTACTAAAGTCTTCCTATTCTCTTTCATTCCAATTAATCTCGTTTCTCCTTCCTAAGTCTAATTCTCTTTCATTCCTTCTTCTTCCTAAGTCTTCTTATTCTCTTTCATTCCAATTAATCTCGTTTCTCCTTCCTAAGTCTTCCTATTCTTTTTCATTCCATTTAATCTCCTTTCTCCTTCCTAAGTCGTCTTATTCTCTTTCATTCCAATTAATCTCATTTCTCTTTACTAAAGTCTTCCTATTCTCTTTCATTCCAATTAATCTTGTTTTCTCCTTCCTAAGTCTTCTTATTCTCTTTCATTCCAATTAATCTCACTTCTCTTTACTAAAGTCTTCCTATTCTCTTTCATTCCAATTAATCTCATTTCTCCTTCCTAAGTCGTGTTATTCTCTTTCATTCCAATTAATCTCGTTTCTCCTTCCTAAGTAGTCTTATTCTCTTTCATTCCAATTAATCTCATTCTCCTTCCTAAAGTCTTCCTATTCTCTTTCATTCCAATTAATCTCTTTTCTCCTTCCTAAGTCTTCTTTCATTCTCTTTCATTCCAATTAATCTTCGTTTCTCATTCCAATTAAGTCTTATTATTCTCTTTTCATTCCAATTAATCTCGTTTCTCCTTCCTAATTGTCTTATTCTTTTCTTCCAATTAATCTCATAATCTTCTTATTCTCTTTCATTCCAATTAATCTCACTTCTCCTTACTAAAGTCTTCCTATTCTCTTTCATTCCAATTAATCTCATTTCTCCTTCCTAAGTCTTCTTATTCTCTTTCATTCCAATTAATCTCGTTTCTTCTTCCTAAGTCGTCTTATTCTCTTTCATTCCAATTAATCTCGTTTCTCCTTCCTAAAGTCTTCCTATTCTCTTTCATTCCAATTAATCTCGTTTTCTCCTTCCTAAGTCTTATTATTCTCTTTCATTCCAATTAATCTCACTTCTCCTTCCTAAGTCTTCTTATTCTCTTTCATTCCAATTAATCTCGTTTCTCCTTATTAAATCTTCTTATTCTCTTTCATTCCAATTAATCTCACTTCTCTTTACTAAAGTCTTCCTATTCTCTTTCATTCCAATTAATCTCATTTCTCCTTCCTAAGTCTTCTTATTTCTTTCATTCAATTAATCTTTTCTCCTTCCTAAGTCTTCCTATTCTCTTTCATTCCAATTAATCTCGTTTCTCCTTCCTAAGTCTTATTATTCTTTTCATTCCAATTAATCTCACTTCTCCTTCCTAAGTCTTCCTATTCTCTTTCATTCCAATTAATCTCTTTCTCCTTCCTAAGTCGTCTTTATTCTCTTTCATTCCAATTAATCTCACTTCTCCTTACTAAAGTCTTCCTATTCTCTTTCATTCCAATTAATCTCATTTCTCCTTCCTAAAGTCTTCCTATTCTCTTTCATTCCAATTAATCTCGTTTCTCCTTCCTAAGTTGTCTTATTCTCTTTCATTCCAATTAATCTCACTTCTCCTTTTCTAAAGTCTTCCTTCCTATTCTCTTTCATTCCAATTAATTTCATTTCTTTTTCCTTCCAAAATCTCTTTTCTTATTCTCTTTCATTCCAATTAATCTCACTTCTCCTTCCTAAGTCTTCCTATTCTCTTTCATTCCAATTAATCTCGTTTCTCCTTCCTAAGTCTTCTTATTCTCTTTCATTCCAATTAATCTCGTTTCTTCTTCCTAAGTCTTCTTATTCTTTTCATTCCAATTAATCTCGTTTCTCCTTACTATAATCTTCTTATTCTCTTTCATTCCAATTAATCTCACTTCTCTTTACTAAAGTCTTCCCTATTCTCTTTCATTCCAATTAATCTCGTTTCTCCTTCCTAAGTCTTCTTATTCTCTTTCATTCCAATTAATCTCGTTTCTCCTTCCTAAGTCTTCTTATTCTCTTTCATTCCAATTAATCTCACTTCTCTTTACTAAAGTCTTCCTATTCTCTTTCATTCCAATTAATCTCGTTTCTCCTTCCTAAGTCTTATTATTCTCTTTCATTCCAATTAATCTCGTTTCTCCTTCCTAAGTCTTCCTATTCTCTTTCATTCCAATTAATCTCTTTCTCCTTCCTAAGTCGTCTTATTCTCTTTCATTCCAATTAATCTCACTTCTCCTTACTAAAGTCTTCCTATTCTCTTTCATTCCAATTAATCTCACATCTCCTTACTAAAGTCTTCCTATTCTCTTTCATTCCAATTAATCTCACTTCTCCTTCCTAAGTCTTCTTATTCTCTTTCATTCCAATTAATCTCATTTCTCTTTACTAAAGTCTTCCTATTCTCTTTCATTCCAATTAATCTCGTTTCTCCTTCCTAAGTCTTCTTATTCTCTTTCATTCCAATTAATCTCACTTCTCCTTACTAACGTCTTCTTATTCTCTTTCATTCCAATTAATCTCACTTCTCTTTACTAAAGTCTTCCTATTCTCTTTCATTCCAATTAATCTCATTTCTTTTTCCTAAGTCGTGTTATTCTCTTTCATTCCAATTAATCTCACTTCTCCTTACTAAAGTCTTCCTATTCTCTTTCATTCCAATTAATCTCGTTTCTCCTTCCTAAGTCTTCTTATTCTCTTTCATTCCAATTAATCTCGTTTCTTCTTCCTAAGTCTTATTATTCTCTTTCATTCCAATTAATCTCGTTTCTCCTTACTATAATCTTCTTATTCTCTTTCATTCCAATTAATCTCACTTCTCTTTACTAAAGTCTTCCTATTCTCTTTCATTCCAATTAATCTTGTTTCTCCTTCCTAAGTCTTATTATTCTCTTTCATTCCAATTAATCTCGTTTCTCCTTCCTAAGTCTTATTATTCTCTTTCATTCCAATTAATCTCGTTTCTCCTTACTATCATCTTCTTATTCTCTTTCATTCCAATTAATCTCACTTCTCTTTACTAAAGTCTTACTATTCTCTTTCATTCCAATTAATCTCGTTTCTCCTTCCTAAGTCGTCTTATTCTCTTTCATTCCAATTAATCTCACTTCTCTTTACTAAAGTCTTCCTATTCTCTTTCATTCCAATTAATCTCACTTCTCCTTCCTAAGTCTTCTTATTCTCTTTCATTTCAATTAATCTCGTTTCTCCTTCCTAAGTCGTCTTATTCTCTTTCATTCCAATTAATCTCGTTTCTCCTTCCTAAGTCTTCTTATTCTCTTTCATTCCAATTAATCTCGTTTCTCCTTACTATAATCTTCTTATTCTCTTTCATTCCAATTAATCTCGTTTCTCCTTCCTAAGTCTTCTTATTCTCTTTCATTCCAATTAATCTCGTTTCTCCTTCATAAGTCTTCTTATTCTCTTTCATTCCAATTAAACTCACATCTCCTTACTAAAGTCTTCCTATTCTCTTTCATTCCAATTAATCTCACTTCTCCTTCCTAAGTCTTCTTATTCTCTTTCATTCCAATTAATCTCGTTTCTCCTTCCTAAGTCGTCTCATTCTCTTTCATTCCAATTAATCTCACTTCTCTTTACTAAGTCTTCTTATTCTCTTTCATTCCAATTAATCTCGTTTCTCCTTCCTAAGTCTTCTTATTCTCTTTCATTCCAATTAATCTCACTTCTCCTTACTAAAGTCTTCTTATTCTCTTTCATTCCAATTAATCTCACTTCTCCTTACTAAAGTCTTCTTATTCTCTTTCATTCTAATTAATCCCTGATGTCCTAGTGCCCTTATCACCTTGCTTGGGATGAAATTATTTTAAAAATTAAGACAATGGTTAAAAATGACTTTGAGCAAATGAAACCTGTTGGTCTTAGTGAGGACCATCCTTCTTTGAATCACAAAGAACTATATCAAATACCAGAAATGATATCATATCAGGATTTTTAATAACAGTAAAAAATCAAATGGATATCACATGTAACTCGATGAGAAAATAATAACATAATTTAGATTTTACACTACTTCAAATAAAAGTCAATACTGGAAAGAGCAATAACAGCTACTGGACTTGAGAAACCTAATTTCGTAAATATTTTATGAGAAAGATTTTATAAATTTCAGCAGAAAGTGCTACTGGCTACTCAGTCAATGAATACCAAATGTAAGGTAACGACTAATATCACCATCAGAGAGGAGGAGAACAGATACTACACTTTGATCTCTGTCTGATGGCCAAAGGTTGCTCAGTCAATAAATACCAAATGTTTCCAAATGAGGAAATTTTTAATATCAACATTACCACTTGCCAAATAAAACATATCGTTCTCTATTAAACCTGAAAAAATAAAGTGTATCTCGTCATTGTATACACACAGGAAACAAGTGATGGTAGTTAAATTTGGCATCCTTTCATGAATCAAAGAACCTTGTAAAATCCTGTTTCCTGTTATGTTATATAAGTGAGACTGAAGTAAAGGGAAATTATTTTTAATAATTTCACCCCAAGCAAGTCAAAAACAGAATGGGTTACTGAGTGTGAAAGTATATAAGGAAAAAAAAAACATTATTAAGGAATAAGAATAATAAAAGAACAGGAATTAAAAATGCAGAAGATGACAATTGACATTGTGCTTAAATTGTTGAAGATCAGGATTTGAGGAATGTTTGATCACTAATATATAAAGATCCACTTTTTCAATTAACTTCACCTCTAATGAGAATATTATCTTTGCAATGGTAGAAGCGTGTATGTTTTAAATTTATTGAGGTTAAAATCTAACTTGAAACATCACTGATTTTACAGAATTTAATGTTCACATCGCTTTTAGAATATTTATTGAATAAATACATAAAACAATTTTACAGTATTTGCCAAATTTCATTATTTTTTTATGTTCATTCATATAATTTACAAGACCTTACTGATTATTTATGAGCATGTTAAGATATTTACAGCATTTATATACATGATTTGGTGTGGTTTCAACATCTCAACCATAGAGAGTATCACATCCCACCAACGTTCTATTTTTCCCTTTAAAGAATGAACAATCTCTCATTCATATTTTTCTCAAAACATCATATCTGCTCAGTTTTGTTTCCAAAACATCATATCTGCTCAGTTTTGTTTCCAAAACATAAAGCAATTTCTAAAGAATTAATGGATTTATTATTAGTCTAACATTTCTTATTACTGATGTAATGGAATAACCTGTCACCTCCATGAGTGGCTACGCTATAGGTAGTAACTACCTATAAGTATCTGTAAGTCAACTGACTACAGAGACTAGCTGGGATCTGTTGAGTACGACTCAGACTTACACAAGAACTACCGACCTTCAAATAGTAGCACTCACTACTGGATTGACTTGCAATGACCTTGTGCATAATTGTTACCTTTATTCTTATTGTACTGGTTTTTTATAATAAATCTTTACTTATTTTATCCACCTTGTTTTTCAAGTATATATTCCTATTAGCACGGAATATAACAATTACTTTAAGCGTTAATTTCAGTGGATAAAAGGGAAACTACAACATTGCTGGGCTATTGATGAGCAGGCTAAAACATGCCGGATTATGGGTTTTTTTGTTTTGTTTTGTTTTTTTGTTTTTTAAATCAGTAGTATAAAAGCCACTAAAATACAAGGCGTTACATGGTATGGAAGAATTAGGAACAGAAACATTAATAATGAGTGGAAAGAAAAAAAAAGAGTAATCAGGAGTACAGTAGATGGCAACTGACATTACATTTAAATTTTTGCAGATTAAAATTGGCTGGAAAGCATGGAGCCAGAAAGGAGTTCCACAAGCGAGAAGTGCAAGAAAAAAAAACTTAACATAGGGCTACTTGTAACTGAACTGACAACACAGCCAACAAAATGGCTCACTTTCATTCACATAAACCAGGAAAAAACACCAAGGTATAAGTTTCAATCCCTTAAAAATGAAAGGACAATATTAGAATTCAGTAATAAACTAGAGTCAATAAATCTTGACCAAAACAACATAGATGAATCAAATAACGTCATCATATCTTCATTAGTTGAAGTGCATGAGACCATTCCAAGAATACCAAGAAGGGAAAAGATTCACCCACGAGACGGAAATACTGAGTTGAAACAGTTGATATAAGAAAGAACCAAACAGTAGAGGAAGAAAAATAAAAAGGTAAATAGTAAACAATAAAAAAAAAAATGAACAGTTCTTTAAGAAATCAATATCATGGGAAAATTGGAAACAAAATTAATGAGGCCAAAATATAAAAAATTATATTTTGGATTTGTAAATAGAAACATTCACGGTGTTCTTTAGATATACATACTTTATTTTTCATAACTTTTATATTTTATTTTTCCATTAACAAATCTCTATATTTCATTTTATTCTACCATATTTCCTATGTAAAAATTTAATTGATTTGCTTACAGATATTTATTTTTATTAGATGCTAAAGATTTTTTAAAAAATTAGCCACAGCATTTCTTATTAGCAGGGTAGCCATGGTAATGGTTCTTTCCTTAAATTTTTTCAGTTACTTTGAAAATCTATCTATATTTCTGAGATGAGGTATTATGTACACTATTTACATTATTCAGACTATTGTCATCATCTTTGTCACCATATTTATTACAACATTTTGTTTGTTGTATGCTCCAGCCTTCTTCAGGTGGTTGGAATGTCGAACTGACCCCTTTATTTCGCTCACTGGGGTAGACTGATCTAGTTCTACGTGCCATGTTTAATGGAGGCAGTGGAGAACTTGGAGATGGAATTAACAGGAGATAACAAATAAATGACATCCATTAAACATAATAAATAATGTAAATAGTGCACTTTGAAAATGTTCGTACAGTTTGAAACATTGACAGCAACCTAATAATTTTTTTATGAATTTTACCTTAAATTTTCTTAAGTTATTTCTTTGATTATTTTCACATCAATCTATATATATATATATATATATATATATATATATATTGGTCGACCAGAAAAAGCATTCAATTAGAATGGAGCAAAAACAGCATCATGTTTAGATGTAACAGAGTCTATCTTCAATTACCTTAAAGTACTTTCATTAAAAAGCATTTTGAATTAATGAAGTTACTGATATAACGGAAGTAGACTATTTATTCAATTGAAGTTACCTGAAGACATGAAGGGGTAAAACAGGCAACATGAAGACCCACTTCAGACCAGAATTATTTTGAAGTTTT